GAGTTTCGAAGTTTTATACTCCGTTTGGTAAGAGGAAAAGAAAAAAAAATGAAAAAAAATACATGAAACCAAGAAAATGTGAAGGAAAGAAAAAAAAAGTTGAGTTTCCTTTATGTTATGGTCTCCATTATTGGCCAAAGGGAAGATATTTTGTGTTTTCTACTTTCTTGTTGAACAAAAGTGATTTTGAGCTTGTTGCCTAGGTTCTTCAGTCTCGTATGTAATAGACTAAATGACTATTTTACTAATTAATTAATATTAATTTAACTTTAAAATGGGGGCAAAAAAGTTATTTTAGTATCAACGAGTGGATTTAAGTTTTTTCCACCTAATATTAAGGAGATAAAACTTGATCGATTCTATAACAATTTTTATCCATCTTATTTTCCATTTCCTCCTCTATTCTTTTCTACTAAACAATCTAATTTATCGTTTTCACTCAAAAATCCATCCACCCACTTTATTTCTCTTTTTCATCGTACCAAACATAGTATTAAGCTTGCATTAATACCTATTAATTATCAACCAAGAGTTTATGATTGGTTACAAGTCTTCCGATATTTGTGGTTTTGAGAATATGGGTAAATACTAAAATGTCCCTCAAAATGTAGACTTTTTGGCTGCAGGGAGGCCCCAGATGAGGTACAATGATGCAAATGAAAGTTTCATCAAATTGTCTTCATTCTCATGTCTTGGCTGTTGCCGCTCTAGTCTTAATTATTAATTACCAACCAAGAGTTTATGATTCGTTAGAAGCTTCCTGATCTTTGTCGTTTTGAGAATGTGAGTAAATACTAAAATTTCCCTCAAAATGTAGACTTTTTGGCTGCAGGGAGGCCCCAGATGAGGTACAATGATGCAAATGAAAGTGGCATCGAATTGTCTTCATTCTCTTGTTTTGGCAGTTGACGCTATAGTTTTTTGGTGCGTATTCGTGTTATGATTTAAATTATGATTCGTGATTCGTTATCATATTTTTTCACACAAAAAATACACATAAATTAAAAATAATTCTGAACTATGAAGGCGAAATGAATATATTTTTTATTTTCTACTTTCTTGGAGCTTGTTGCACAGTTCTAAGAATCTGCAATTGTTAGCTACTGATAATTCTGTGTGATCAACAAACAGTTCAGCTGGGAAAGGTACGCCTTATAAACTTTACAAAGTTGTACTTATTCATTTAGTTAGTTGATTTAAATTTTTAATTTAAATTTAAATGTGATTTTATGTAAAAAAAATTTATTATAAAAAAAAAATTAGATGTAATTATTTTTTAGAGTTTTTTACTATCATAAAATTTAAAATTTAAACTTAAATCAATAAAATAAACGAGATCTTAATTACTTTATACAAACAAGAGACAGTACAAGAAAGAAAGGAAAGAAGAAAAAATCATACTTTCCTTATTTTTCTCGGTAGTTCCTTGACTTTGTTTATTTACTCCTTGTCTAAGTCTTTTTCGACGTTGTTGTTGTTTTCTTTTTTTCTTTAAATTGCATATCTTGTTCTCTTGGTTCAAAGAAGAACGAAAGGGAAGAAAGTTTGCTTTAAAAAAATTGTGCTCTTCACATTTATGTTATATATATACCCAATGATAAAGCTAAGAACTTTTGTGAGGGGGCGAATTTTAATAACATAAAAAGTTTAATAAAATTAATGGTTAAGTTACCACCAATTGTTCTAGTTGGTATTTCAATTTTTAAAAATAAGATTATTATCACTGGTTTTCTTAAACTTTAAAAACTCACATTTTGCCCTTAAAATTTTAAATTATTCTCACTTAATCCCTTCTATTATAATTTTTATACAAAAAAATGTGGTTTAAGTGTGGCCATGTGGTTTTATCTGTTTGATTTTAATTGAAATTCAAACAAAAAGATTATGTGACTGCATTACTTTCTTTTTTTCTATCTATTTTTAACATGTATTATAACAAAAGGGTTAAGTGAGAACAATTCAAAGTTTAAGAGAAAAATTAAAGTTTTTAAAGTTTAAGTGGTAAACTGAAAATGACTCTAAAATTCAGGGAGCACTAATGATAATAATTCTAAAAAATATTGCATAATATCTAGTAACTACGTATCAAGGTTATTCAAGATAATTTTCACGGTGTATATAAGTGAAGTATCATTAATCAATTGATATGTAATTCAATTTCGTAGCCAATTCTTAATAATATTCATAGCGAAATATGTCAAGTCTACAATAATGGTAACAATAAGTAGTGTTTATACTCGCCTTTTATTGTTTCCTTTCTTTTCACTGTTTGTTGCTTTCTTGGTTGGTCATTATTAAATTAATGTTAATGTTAGAAGTATATAAACTATATCTATTATTTATTTTTAGTTAATTATAAAAGGCTTTTAAAGTTAAGATTAGTAATGTTTTTTTTTTTTAAATAGTATTCTTAGAGGTATTTATTTTTTTTTAAAATAGTATTTTTAAATTTTTAAAACTTCAAAAATTAAATTTTTATTTTTGAGGGGGCTATATTTAATTTGATATATATATATATATATATATCTACACATGTATATACCTATAGGCCTCTATGCCTTCGTCCCTACTCGATTTGCTCTTGGAGCTTGTTGTAGTGCATTTTCGACCGATATAGTATGACAAAGAGATCTAACTATTCTCTTTTTTTTAATTATTTTTTTTTCTTCCTGTTGGGAGAGCTATGCTGTGATTGTTATTAGTTTTACTGTTTAAAAATCTTGCTTCATTTGTTGCGTTTTTCTTGTCTTTCAGATTCTCTCGTTTGTTCCAGCTGCAATTTAGTAGAGTCAACATTAAAAAAAAAAAAAAAAAAAAAACCAAAAAACCAAAAAACAGTTTGGGGGGAGCTTTCTTTTTCAGATTATTTCTATAATAATTCTTCTGGTCCAGGATATTTTTCGGCCTCATTCATTTTACCGATTCAAATTTAGAATTCGAGTTTTGCTACAGTAAAAAGCTCTTAGAAACAGTTACATCTAACTTTTTTGTTACAGTAAAAAAAATCTCACATAAAGTCATATCTCAACTCCAATTAAAAACTCGAATCAACGAACTAAACAGGTCCTTAATTTGTCTCTTTGAATCTACGATTCTGTAGTCACTCAAAAAAAAAAAGTCCCCTATTCATATTTTTTAAAACCGAAAAAAAAGAATACATCCATCAAAAAATCATTTAAAATTGTTCTCAATGATTCAACATGAAGAGGCTCTGATACCACTTGTTAGAAAATATTCTTTAATGTAAAACATCTCTCCAATCTAGAAAACATTCATGTCAGATCATCAAGAATCAATAGAACTGTAAGCAGAAGCGTACCTAAATCTATAATATTTAATTACTCTCTAGAGCTGTGTGTGTTTTTCTAGAGAATCCTTTAGCTTTCTCTCTACTCTCTATCTGATGATGAGATATCAAAAAAGAATAGAATGTGACATGTGATCTGGAGACTATAACCACTATATATAAATAACTATCTTGTTATCTTTTAGTATTTTTATTTTAAACCATCATAAAAATAGAAATTATCTTAAGTCTCTACACATTAAAATCTCACACCCTATTAGATATATTAAAACCCAAATTACTTAAACCTTAATAGACCACTTTTAAATGAACTTAACCTTATATGACAGTGTACAACAAATAATTATTTATATATAAACTCAATATTGAATTAAGCATCCAACAATTTTATCAACCTTATTGTCCTTTCTCTTCTCCTTCTTACCAAACAACCGAATCTATCATTTTTTACTTAAAAATCGCTCCACCCACTTCTTTTCTTTCTCTTTTTCATCATACCAAACATGTCATTAAGCTTGCAATAATACCTATTAATTACCAACCAAGAGTTTATGATTGGTTAGAAGTTTCCTGATCTTTGTCGTTTTGAGAATGTGAGTAAATATTAAAATGTCCCTCCAAATGTAGACTTTTTGGCGGCAGGGAGGCCCCAGATGAGGTACAATGATGCAAATGAAAGTGACATCAAATTGTCTTCATTCTCTTGCCTTGGCAGTTGACGCTACAGTCTTCCTTATTGGCCAAGGGAATATATTTTTTGTTTTCTGCTTTCTTATTGAACAAAAGAGATTTTGAGCTTGTTGCGTAGTTATAAGAATCTGCAATTGTTAGATACTGATAATTTTGTGTGATCAAGAAACAGTTCAGCTGGGAAGAAAGGTACGCCTTATAAACTTTACAAAGCTGTAGTTAATTGCTTTCTGCAAACAAGGGACAGTACGAGAAAGAAAGGAAAGAAGAAAAATTCATACTTTCCTTATTTTTCTCGCTAGTTCCTTGACTTTGTATCTTTACTCCTTGTCCAAGTCATTTTCGACGTTGTTGTTGTTGTTGTTTTCTTTTTTTGTTTAAATTGCATATCTTGTTCTCTTACTATTCTGTTTTTTGTTTTTTTTCCTGTTGGGAGAGCTACGCTGTGTTTCTTGTTAGTTTTACTGTTTAAAGATCTTGATTGATTTGTTGCGTTTTTCTTGTCTTTCAGATTGTGTCGTTTGTTCCAGCTGCAATTTAGTAGAGTCAGCATTAAAAAAAAAAAAAAAAACAAAAAACAAAAAACAAAAAACAAAAAACCAAAAAACCAAAAACCAAAAAACGAAAAAACTATTTTTTGGGGTGAGCTTTCTTTTCCAGATTATTTCTATAGCAGTACTTTTGGTCCAGGATATTTTTTATTTGCCGCTTCGAATTCTGTAGTGACTCAAAAAAAAAAAAAAAAAAAAAAAAAAAAAAAAAAAGGGGGAAAAAAAAAGAAGAGAAATATGGTAGTGGACCAGTGTTTATCATTCTTTTTAAGGTTAGCAAGAATCACAGTGACACCAGTTTGGAGGCATCTGAGTTATGCAATCTGCTACAGAAGGAACACTAGACATCTTACAAGTCAAGTGAGGACTTTGAGTGATAGAAGATGCACTATTAAAGAGCAAGTTGATGCAGCAAAAAGAAACTTAGAGAGAATAACTCCGGAAGTTCAAAGATGGCTGGAGGATGTGGAGAATACAATTCAAGAAAAGGAGACGTATTTACTGAAGAAAGAGTATCAAATGCCTGGTGCTTCAATGGGTGCTGTCCAAATTTGAAGTCGCGTTATTACTTGGGTAGAAAAGCTAAGAGGATGTCTCTGGATATCGATGATTTCCTTCAACCTGGGAAACTCCCAACTGTATCCCTTCCTGCTCTTCCTCCAGGGCATGTATCTGTATCCATACGACACTCTGAGGCTTCAACTCAAGCAGCGAGTACGATCCACGAAGCTGGCACCTCCTATGTCACGCCAAAATCTGCTTCTGTAAGCACTGCAGCTGGCACCTCCTCTGTCACGCCAAAATCTGATTCTGCTTACACTGCAGCTGGCACCTCCTCGGAAGCGCCAAAATCTGCTTCTGCGTACACTGCTTTTGAGTCACGATTTTCACTTATCGAACGTGTCATGAATGCTTTGAAGGATGATCGGACCAATCCCATTGTTATATGTGGGATGGGCGGAATTGGCAAGACGACCTTGCTGAAAGAATTTTGTAAGAGGGCAAAAGGTGAAGGTATTTTTAACGAGGTTGCGATGGCAGATGTTGGACGAAATCCTGAATTCAAGAAGATTCAAGGTGATATTGCTGAATTTCTGGGTTTGACACTGTCTGGGGATAATTTGTCTGCAAGAGCATGTAAGTTATCTGAAAGACTAGATTGTGGCAAGAGGATCCTTGTGATATTGGATGATGTTTGGGAAACAATTGATTTCGAGGAAGTGGGAATTCCACCGTCCAGGAATTGTAAAATTTTGATATCATTCAGGAATCAAGACATATACAAGGAGATTGAAACCAAAATGAACTTCTTTGTTGGGCTTTTGCAACCGCATGAAGCTTGGAGTCTATTTAAGGAGATGGCAGGAAGTTCCATTGAATCACCTGAGTTGCGTACTATAGCAGAGCAAATTCTAAGTGAATGTGACCGTTTGCCACTAGCAATCTCAGCAGTCGGAAGTGCACTGAAGGGAAGAGGTAAACAAGCTTGGAGCGATGCGCTTAGACGACTAAGAAGAAACAGCCCACAAAGCGTTCCAGAAGTGTTGTCAAAGGTTTATCCAATACTGGAGTTTAGTTATGACTGTTTGGGAACAAAAGATGCCAAATCACTTTTTTTGTTTTGCTGTCTGTATCCAGAAGGGAGTGACATAAGGGTAGAAGATTTGGTTAGACATGGAGTTGGGCTTCAACTATATGAAGGGATTACATCAATGGAAGAAGGAAGGGATCACGTTGGAGCGTTGATTGAGGAGCTAAAGAACCGCTCTTTGTTGTTAGATAGCAACAAAAAAGAATGTGTCAAAATGCATGATGTGCTACGTGAAGTTGCCTTACATATAGCTTTTCTTCGTTTCCAGCAAAATGATTCTTCTCGAAATGAAAATCGGTTTTTTGTAAGACATGGAGTGAAACTAGATGGATGGCGCAGCGTGGAAGGAACTGATGCACAACAATACACTTGCAGTGCGCTGATAACCAAGGAAACACATGGAGATGTTGCTGAGCTCTTATTGTTATCATGCAGGGATGATTCAATTGTACCACTAGAAGCTGCTCTAAAAGGAATGGAAAAGCTCAAGGTTTTTGAGATTAAGAACGCAAATTTGTTGTCAACACTACCAGCGCTTAAGGTTTTGGAAAGTCTTCAAACACTGTGTCTGGAGCATTGCGTGTTGGGTGATGTATCAATTATTGGAGAGCTTCGAACGCTAATGATACTCAGCTTACGTGGCTCTTCCATCAACCAGTTACCAGTTAGCTTCAGAAATTTGGCCAATCTGTGATTGCTAGATTCCACTGGATGCGAAAGCAGAGAACGAATTTCACCAGGTGTCATTTCAAGTTTACGCAACCTACAAGAATTATACATACTTGGGCAGGTAACGGCCACGTGCCCCCACTGGAATTAATTTTGATTTCGCTTTTACTTGTTAGCCGAAATAGTATGGATAATACAAAAGAGGAACAAGTTAAGGAAGAATAAAAACCGAAATTCATACAATTGTAATTCAACCTTTTTACCAAAACTCGAAAATGAAAATTGGAAGAATGTCGAGGCACGTGGAGCACGTTTTCCTTAAAACAGATTCGTCCCCTCTAGCATGTGCTTGAGGTTACATTGGACGTCTGTCTCCCAGGATACAACGACAACGACGGTAGCTCGATGCACTTTCAGAACCGTCCGGCGAACTAGAACTTGATCTTTCCTCTATCACCAAAAACGGAACAAGAAGAACTACTCAAGGAAATCCATTAACCAGCCAATAATGTAGGTTAATGCTGTAGTTTTCCAAAATCCCACACTAATGCAGAGTTAAACAAAAACTAATGTAGTAGTTTCAGATTTCTGATGGGAAAAATAAAAAGAAAAATCGCAAAATGTAGCTCGCACGGAGCGGGTTTTCCGGTCCGGCATTCGTGTCCGCAGGTCGCGGGCGCACACATTACTCTGGAAATTCAGGGCTTGACAGCATTAGAAGAACTAGTACTCCACGAAATGTCTTGCTCGAAAGAGATATGGAGCACAGAAAGCATGCAAACAAGCAACATAGATGGCAGAGAAAGTCCAAGATTTCATAATCTAATTAAACTAGAGGTTTCCTGTTGTCGCAGTTTGGAATTTCTACTCCCGCATTCCACTGCCAAGGGTCTCATCAATCTCAAACATCTAAAGGTATATGATTGCGAGTCGATGGAACAAATAATCTACGAAACACCAACTGAGGTAGAAGAAACTGGGGACAAGAGCATTCTCCAGCAGTTAGTTCATTTGGAGCTTTCTTTACTACCAAAGCTGACTAGCTTTTGTCGGGGAAAATACAATGTTGATTGGCCGAATATGACAAAAGTTGTTTTTCAAGAATGCCCCAAAACGGAGACTTTCTGTTTCGGATTGGTTCATACACCGAAGCTGGAAAGGGTGTATTTAGATAGTTATAGTGATCGTTATCATTGGAAGGGAGACCTTAAGAGCAACATACAGTACCTTTCAAGATGAGAGGTATGTTTTACTATACATCTTTTGCAAGGACTACTATCTATGTTCATTAGTATAGGTTCTCTCATTTCTTGTGTTTCAGCTTATGCAGGAATTGAATGTCTTTTCTGTCAGAAAATTCCTAAATATAATCTATAATTTTGCATAAAACAATAATCCAAAATCTGAAGATTTTATAATTTTCTCTAGTCAAGTAATTGAGATATTTTTACATATCGTGATATATGACAATCATATACTACATGCATGAAGCCTTAGGATGGAAGCTCAACCACTAATTAAACATTTCATATTTTTAGCTGAATTATCATATTAATACCCTATCTCTTTTGCGATTATTTATGAAGATACCCTAAGAGTCTGATAATATTAAAATGGTACATTGTCATTGAAAAAATGTCTTCTTGGTCCCCAAGGCCTTTTTGTTTGGGACAATCTATGTTCTCTTTGCTCTTGTATCCATTTTCAATTAATTGCTCCAAATTAATTTATCGAAAATGTTGAAAATATCTCACGTACTGTAGCCAAAGAGGGACTAACCCTCAACATAGGCTAAATTCAACTAATTAATTAAAAATTTTTACATGAGCAAACAGTGTATTTTTTGTCCCATTTTCATTTTTAAATGTCAGGTACAATTTTAATATTATTAGAACCTTAGGATACCCCCATAATAATCGCAAAGAAGGCAGGTTGCTAACATGATAATTTTCCATAGTTTAAGTTGTGGTATGCACATTACGAGTGCAAGCTTAAACCGAGTTCAACCACTCTCATCAAGCCAGTGCTTCAAAAGAATGCTTTCTTAGTTCTTAGACTATGTTGAAATTCCTTCTGATCATGTGTGCAGTGAACTAGATGCAACTGTCTGGAAACTTCAGCCAAGCTGTTTGCGGTCATCAGATTCTGGAGGTTTGAAGACATAAACTCAGATTTCCTAGCAAAGGTTGACCATGTTGTTCGTTACTCTCTCGACGCGGAAATGCTGTCAAGCCCTGAATTTCCAGAGTAGTTAGACTGACTAACATGTTTCTTTTGCTCGGAGGGGTATGTTTGGAGCTGGAGACATTTTGTGTGAAGAATGCTGAAATTTGTGGACATGGTCGGTATTGGTTGGTTTACTTTTAAACAGACTTCCTCGTTTTTCTGCTCAAACTGGACTTAGAACTAGAAGTTTCAAGCGGTTGACGATAAGTGGTTGTAGTGGTTGTTTTTTGTTGTTCTGTGTGGAGAGTTGTGCATAGAGAAGTTCAGTGCAGGGAAGCCAAGAAAACTTATTTCTTTTTGGGCTGTGATTATGGGCCTGTTTGGTAGCATTTTCATTTTCGTTTCTCACATTTTTCGATGCAAAAAATTGAAAACGGAGATAAAAAACGTGTTTGGCAAAATTTGTGTCAGAAAACAAAAACGAAAATGGCTTTGTCGTTTTCCGGAATTTTGAAAACGGAAAAAAGCCGTTTTCGTTTTCTTGTTTTCATTTTCGGTTTCTTTTTCTTCTTTCTTCCTCGATCATCCTCCCGTTTCTGCTTCTTCCGATTTTTTCTTCCCCTTCAGCCGAGCTCTTCTTCCTCCTTCCCTTCCGTTCTTCAGCCGAGATCTTCTTCCCGGCCGAGCCCCGGGGTTCTTCTCGCCCAAGAGTCGCGTCGTTTGCTTCTCACCGGAGCACCTCCCTTCGCCTGAGCTCCTCCGGTCTCTTGTTGCCCAATCTGCGCCGTTCTCCGTTTTCTCACCGAGGTATGCCCCTAGCCAAAAATATTTGAACGTGTTTGATTTTTCCGATCGATTTGGTCGAGCAATTTGTTTTTTTATTTTTTTTATTTTTATTTTCTGTTGTCTCGCCGTTTGATTTGCTTATTCAACCAAATCGGTTGCCGTTTTCCGATTGATTTGGTGTTTGTTTTCTACCTTATGCTTGATCTGATATGGTTTTTTTTCTATTTTTTTTTTTTCCCCTGGAGGCCCCCGTTGGGGCTGATACAGCCCCTAGGGGCCTCCCCTTGGGGCTGTATCAGCCCCCGGGGGGGCCCCCC